CCCACGTTGCCATGATACTGGTAAGATTATTTGTTTTTGAAGTGTTTATATAGAAAAAATAAAAAAATATGCTATAGCAGCCAGCCTCTTCAGCAACTACTTTACTGCTGTCTGGCTGGAGCACAGGATGAGGGAGGCAAATAATTCTTGGGCTAATTGCTTGTGGCACTGTAGCTCTGCTTCCATGTTTCCTTTGTATACTTCTGGTTTGCATGTCAAGAGAACACATATTAGTTGTGACATATTAAGTCCCCAAGACAAAAACAGGTAAACCTCTTCAGAGAAGAAAAATATTTTCCAGAGTTGTGTTTCCATTTCTAGGTGGGACGTGAATTGATTTAATTTTATGTAAGAATGATCACACAGTTTGGGTCATGGATCTATGTCCCATCCCTGTCTCTCACAACATGTTGAAAGAGCAGGGCAAGTACATATCGTACTTGTCATCGTAACTTCATAGCTACCAGCTACTTTCAGCTTTGGATTTCTGGGGCCACTTGTGGAGTTTCCATGTAGTAATCCCCAGTGTTTATCCCATCCACACCTTGAACCCATGGAAACTTTTTGTACCCACATTGTCTTTGGCCAAGGGGTTTCCTGGGTTTCCTGTTTGCTGCCTGGAATGTCACGCTCATTTTTTTCCTTTCTGAATCTGGTTCCCACCAGCTGCTGCATATGCTCTAATTTTTGTGTTGGAATAGAGAGAGAGCAAACAAGTTCTGTCCATTCTGTAATCCCTGTAAAAGGACGAATTTGGGTACTTAAAATTTGTTCATCTGAGGAGTAATAGCCCCAGCTTGAACTTTGAGTTTGTCAAGGGGAATACAAATCTACCCTGGAATAGGTATTGCCTATATGCTTTTTTGTGTTTGTTTGTTTGCTTTTTAAAGGGTGGTTTCAGGAGAAGAAAATGTAGCAGTAAGTTAGGCACTTCACAATGCTGGTTCCGTGACTAAATGTTAATATTTTCATTAGGAATATTTACTTGTCTGTTTTTGCAAATGTAAAGAAAACATTGCCTCCTATTCACCCACAAACAGCAAAATATGAATGATTTTGAGCTGATGTCCCTAGCATCCAATGTGATGTGATTTTTGCCTTCAAGAAGATTAGCTTTGATGAAAGTACCTGTGACTCAGGGGAAAAGTGAAGGATGCCGTTAGAAACTCTGGGGTAGGGGGGGAGAAGGAGACCATGCCATTTCCAGACATGAATTCTTCCTTGAACACAGAAGGATGTGGGTGTGTAAAGCTGTATTAGCCTGTGTAGTCCCACCACTGAGTGAATCACTGGGAGGATCAATATTCCATAGTGCAAGAGAGAAAGATGAAAATGTTAACAGACTTCTCACTGTCTATTCCAAAAGGCAGGATAGTGTACTCCTGTCTAATGAGGGTGATGATTTACTTCCATGTCTGCTAATGACTGAGTAAGATGTCACACAAGTCTTACATGCTTTTAAAAGAGCAAGTTAGTATTTTCTATCCAGGAGCTCTTTGAGGAGCTTGTGGCTACTTTGAAGAAATAATAGATAATCCTGGGGAATTGCTAAGAGCAGGAAGCTTGCAAAAGGGCAGATGAGGGGGACCTGCTAATTGCTAACAGCCAGGATATCCAAATACCGGTGAATTTGGCTAATGGGGAAAATGGTTAGTGCTAGCTAATGTAGTTTACAGGAAAGAAAACAACTGGTTGGGCAGATGTGATTGACTCCTAAATATAAGCCTGCAGTCTTAAATTCTTCAGAGCAGGTGTGTGAAGGCATCCACACTGTTTGCTCAGCTGGGCATGTTCAAAGGTGCAGCCATGTGGAAAGTCCTACTTGGTGTGAGAAACAGAGAAGAAGATGTGTCCATGCCTTCCTTCCCTGGAACAGCTTCATGAGAGATGTAGCAGAAGGAAAAAATACACTGCTTGGATACATGCTAAGACCAGATAAGGAGCTTACTACACATGTGGATGAGCCCAGTCCTATGGCCTGGCTTTCCAGGGTATTGCTATTGTCTTAAAAGGATGTTGAAATGAAGGGAATGCATATGAGAACAGGGGGTGTTGCAGAGCTTGGGACCACACCTCATGGTGTCACTTAGCCTGAGCTCATCAAAATGTTTGGAATGTGTCTGTCTTCCATGAGGGGGAAACCCCAGGGTCTCTTTAATCTCACAGAGTTGCTAGGTAGTCCTAGGAGGTAAAAATTAAACAGAAATGAGATGAGCTTTCTTCGAGCTGCTGGGAGAACCCTTTCCAAGTCATGGCAAGCTGCTGTTTTCAAACGCATCTTGGCAAGCAGCACCAGGCTTCCTGCAGGGGTATCTAGAAAAAGGTAATAGTCTGTGCTGCGTGGGAACCCAGAGTAAGTGATCTAATGATCTTTCCCAGTCTCTGTTGATTGTGAAGCTGTTCTTTTAAAGACTTTAACTGGTGGCGCTGGCCTCTGTCAAACAGGGTAAAATGGTCCTGCAGCTCTCCAAGGAGCCGTCGGCACGGCTGCTGAAGCACGTGGTCCGCTGCTACCTTCGCCTTTCCGATAACCCCAGGTAAACATTTTAGGAGTTTGGGAAAGGGCTTCTCCGTGCCCTTGGACGCACAGTTCTTCAGTTCTCCTCCACAGTGCCCACCTGGGGGGAATCAAGTTTCCTGGTCTGTCAGCTTTAGTTCAGTGTGGAACATGGGTGGGGTTTTTGCTTTGATTTTTTACGTGCTAGTCACAGGAGCTTTTATGGTGCATGGGACAAACAGTCACTGTTGGGGTATTGTGTAAATTCCATTTGTGTAACAGGTTACTATGCCTGAGCTCATATGTAGCTTGAACAAGATACAAAGGAGGGCCTGAAGTGGAAGGTACACTATACTCTGCCTCTTCCACATCAAGACAGGCTGTTAGCAGTAGATGAAATTCAGTTGAGAGAATACAAACTGATCTCCTGCTAACCAGTAGCTCTGCCCAAAGCTTCTGGGAGTGTATTTGTTGCCTCAGTCTCTCCTAGCATTGCATCACTTTGCTGCTGGGTGTCGGGGTGCAGGGGCTGCTTGGCGGGGTTTGGTGTGAGGGGTGGGAGCTGTGCTGGCTGCTGAGTGCCACCTGCTGCGGTGCTGCTGCTCAGTGCTTTCCTTGGCTGGCTCTAGCAGGGAGGCCTCCAGGCAAAGGAGCGCTGTGTGCCCAGTGGGGTTTGCTCCCCTCCTGCCCCTGTGAGTTTATTTGTTGGGCCCCGTTTCTTGTCTCTTGATGTAGGGCACGTGAAGCTCTCAGGCAGTGCCTTCCTGACCAGCTGAAGGACACCACCTTCGCCCAGGTCCTGAAGGATGACACCACCACAAAACGCTGGCTGGCTCAGCTCGTCAAGAACCTGCAAGAGGGTCAAGTCACTGACCCACGGGGCATCCCTCTTCCTCCGCAATGACTGCTGGGGGAGGTGGGGCACTGGGGAAGAAACAGCTCAGGTTTACAAAGAACCAGGAACAGGTGACCTCTTCTGCAACAAACTGGGCACGCCAGCTGGCTGCTGGCCTGTCGGACCATCCCACCCAGCCAAAGGGCTGCTCTGTAGAGTGCAGCAAGCCTCCGGGGATCCCAACACCAGCAAATGCTGATACTACAGCTTCAAAAAAAAATCAATAAAAACAATCTGTGTAGATCCCAGTCTCTCCAGGAGGCTTGGGTGGCATCTGTTCCCCCACCTCCAGGCAGGGGGTAGTGCAGATGTCCACTCTTCCAGCAAACTCAGCCTCTGCCCAAGTGGTGCACAACAGCGGGTATGTGCACCACATCCCTCCAGTTCCTTGTCAGTTCTTGTTTACATGTCTGTTTAGATGAGTGAATTGAATAAAAGTTGATGCAGTTGTTTAATTCCCTCCTAATACTGCTACTCAGCTGCAGGTAGTCCAGGGACAGCTTTTTTCCCTGCCAGCACATCCTTGCTCCTGGCTCTGCATCTGTCTGTCACAGTGAGCTTTTCTCTTCCTTTCCTTTGGCGTGGAGGAAGTGGCTGCAGCCAAGCCACTGCGGTGCTTGTCCCAAGAGGAGGGGTGGATTACTTGCAATGAACCCGTGTGTCATCAGGTTGCTTCCCAGAGCTCTGGGGAAGGATTGTGCCTCCTGTGCTGTAAATAGTTCACTCCCATAGCAGACCAGTGGCCAGAGGCTGATGTGTGCTGGTCTCTCATCTAGACCAGGGAAGGCTGCTGGCTGGCTTATCACATGGAGCTCAGTGTGAGGGCACCTGCCTTGAGGTGGTGGTCAGGCCACCAACTGCTCTGCTGCCTGCAGGCTCCAGGTATGCTGCCTCCTGCACCCGCTGCTGCCCGCAGGCGCCTCTCAGTCCTGTCCCCTCCCTTCCCCCCCTCCCGCTCCTCTCTGCCAGCCAGGTGCATCCATTTCAGCTTTGAAACCTGCCTTGGCATCTGCCACGGCCCTGCTGCAATTAAACTGGACCAGCAGCCACTTACCTGCCGCCCCTGTGCCGGGGGTAATGCAGCCGCAGCGGGCTCTCGAAGCAGTGGAGGAGCTCCCAGGCTCTGCCGCAGCAAAGCCTGCTCTTGGCTGCAGGCAAGCCTGGGCAGCTACTTAATTTCTCCCCCCTCTTCGAGTAGCCCATTTTGCTGATCATCTGCAGTGTCGTGCCAACAGTGTCTTAAATCCCATCATTTCCCTTCCCTCCTCCTCTCACAGCCTTGCATAACAAGGGCAGAGCACAGCCTCTTCCTTGCCCTCGGGTTCCTGTTTTATAACCATTGCCTTTTCCCTCCTTTTCACCCTGACCTTGCCAGGGTGTGAAAATGCTTCTGTTTGGTTGATTGGTTTTTGTTTGTTTTTTTTTTTAATTCCGATTAATAAATAATAAAACCCCAGCCAGCACAAATTGGTCCTGGTCTGGTCTCTCGGGGGGAGTGGGGTCAAGTGGCGCGGTGGGGATTTATTGCAGATGGGAGGAAGGGCGGGATGTGCCGTCCTGGCGGCATGATCGTGGAAGAGTGGCCTTTTCCCAGTGGGAGCTGGCTGCGTCCCTGCGGCGCCGCATCTCTTCTGGGACAGGTCGTGTGGAGGGGATGCTGCCCTCCAGGAAGGCAGCGAGCCTGCCGGGGTGACAGCAGTTGCGTGCCTGAAACGTCTTTGTAACCGCTGCCGCACCGGCCCGGCGTCCCGGTCTGCGAGAGCATCGGCCGCCCCAAAGTTCAGCTCGCTCTGCCCCCAGCCCAGCCTGCCCTAAGGCTGCCCCAGCTTGGATCCCCATGGGTGCAGGCGGCCCTGGGGACAGACAGGCTCAACCGGAGGGTAAGGATGGGGGCTCGACCCCAAACAAGGGGCGCCGCAGGGTGCTCCCAACGCTGCCGGCCCCTCCGCCGCCTTCTTTACCTGCCCCCCCGCTCCGCCTCGGGAGTGGCGTGACCTCAATCCGAAACGACCTTGAGCGGCAGCGGCTGCGGGGCGAGCGGGGCCGGGGGCGCCCGCGGGGGCGGGGGCAGCCCCGGCTCGAGCGGCGGCTGGCGGCGGAGCACCGGCGGAGCGCGGCGGAGAGCGGGTACGGAGCGGGCGTCCTGCCGAGGGGAGGGGGCGACGGCGGGTACGGGGCTGCCACCTCCAGGTTCCGGGACCCCCTCTCTCGGGCTGCGGTGCCCCGCAGCGGCTGCACCGTTAGGGTGGCGCGGGACAGAAATGCCGGCGGGTTTGTCTCCTTTGCCGTAAGGTGTGATTTGTCCCCTGAGCTCCAAATTCCTTAGGGTTTGCTGCCCCATCCCAGAGCCTCTTGTATCTTCCCCGCTTCGCCTCCAAGCCCTTCTGCCCCCGTCAGCTGCCGGCTGAGCAAAGCTCTAGGACAAGGGCAGTTGGAAGCGCACCCGGGCAGCGAGGTGCGGGGGGTGCCTGAAGGGGGGTGCGGGGTCATCCTTCCCTCTTCTGGCACCCTTACCCGTATGGTGGCTTTTTATTCTGCCGGGCGACTCTGCACTGGAACGGCTGGGGATCGCTCACACTCACTGGCCCTCCAGCTCTGCTGGGGCCTGTCACCACCAGGAGGGACGCTGATGGCTCGGAGTGTGCTGGGGTAGCTGGGGCTGTTCTGGCAGCAGGCAGCTGCCCTGCGGGAAACTCTCGGGTTGGGTTTCTCCATACCCTGGCTCTCCTCCCGCTTGGCTTAGCAATGTAATTCACACTGGGGCAAGGGGGCCTGCAAGGGGCCGGGCTGTGAGGGGCTCATGGCATCCTCAGGAGAGATGAGGATCATCCACACAACAGGAGAGAGCAGAACAGATGTGTCCTGGCACTCACATGCCCTTCCTTGTGCTTCCTTGGCTTGGAAGGGGACATCCCTTCTTTGCTGTACTTGTGGGGAAGGCACTGCTCCATGACTGGGACTGGGAATACTTGGGCCGTGCTGGGAGCCTGGAAGGGCTGGCACTGAGGGAGAACTTAGCTCCGAACTCTCAGTGTGGTTAATGGGCCCAAGGACTACAAGCTGCCCCTTAGCATGCTGCTACCTTGTACACATGCATGGCAGGGTGCCAAGAGGACAGAACTGTTGGTGGCACTGAGCCCATCTTTGTCCCAGTCCAGCATGTCTCCCTGCTTCTCCAGTTCTGTGCCGCCCCAGCTTCCCTAAGACGTGCCCATCTCCCCATCTGCTATGGCACAGGGGCTGCAGGGCTGGTGAGCACCTGGAGCTATGGCCCTGTGAGGAGGCTGTGCCAGGCTGGGTGCTGCTGGAAAGCAGGAGAGTGCAGCCAGGGGGGTGACTGGGGTTGTTCCCCTGGTTCCCTGAGGGCCGGGGGGTGCAGGGGCTGAGAGCACACTGTGGGGGGTGGATGTGGGGCACTCCTGGAGCTGTGCTAGCCAGCACTGACTCTGAAGGGCACAAGAGGAGCACTGGGCTACCCCACACTTTTGGGTGTGGGCACTCCAAGTCCTGGGCCAGTGGGTGAGTGCCCTGTGGGCTGGATGAGGGGGAATACAGGCACTGCAGGAGTCCTTGCAGCCTGAGCCTTGCAAGAAGGACCAGTGTTGGGAAAGCACAGCCGCAGCACTGGGCACTACTGGAAGGCATTTGGGATGGCACCCCAGCTACTCCATGTCTCCTGCAACACGTGAGGTCCCCAAGAGTGTACAGATGATCCCTGTGTGCCCTGGGGACAGCCAAATAGCCATAATTTGCTCCACAACTAGGGTGTCTCACAAGAGCAGGGCCACAGCCCTGGACAGTGCTGTTCTGCCCTGCTGAGCCACACGGAGCAGGGGGTGGCTGCTGTCTGTCCTGAGAGCCCACAAGGGTCTGGCAGCTGGGCTTGGCAGCTGCCTGCACGCTGACGGCACCGGCTATTCCCAGCCCTGCACGACCAGTGCCTGTGCTGAGTCAGGGACCTAGGGCACAGCTGCCACCCCTGCACCCTGGCACAGAGCCCTTTGCTCCCAGGGACCCTGGGACCCCTCCTGCACCCAAACCCCAGCCCACCAGCTGTGGCATCCGCTCCTCCAGGGCCCAGCTCCAGCACCTGGGTGACAGGCACATCCAGTGATTTGTCAGCGTAATTAAAGTCTCAACAGCCTAATCAAAGCCTCATTGTCCAGTAGTATTTATAGTCCCACTCACTGCCATGTGCTCCTGTACAGCTGTGGGTGCAGTCACTGCCTGAGGTGCTGGTATTCCCTGGGGAGAAGAAGCTGTAGGAGTTCAGGGTCATTGCTCTTCCTTGCTATCACAGCTGTGCCTCTCCCTTCATTTCATATTTGCAGGTTGGGGTTGTTTCCTAGGTGGTGGGGGTGTTCTTGGGCGCTGCCAGAGCAGTTTTTCCTGGTTGCAGGTGCTGCTTCTTACCTGGGAGCAGCAGGGCTCTAGTACCCACTGGGCTGTGGGCTGTCAGAGCTGGCAAGTTTTTTTGTTTTCCACCAACACCTTTTGCGCTCCGGCTTCCCGGTAACACAGATTAATATTTCATGAGTATGGCAGTGTGAACTCGACACTTAAGGAATGCAATGACCCAGCAGGAGACAGACACAGGTGCGCTCATATGCGGGCAGGGGCACACACACCTCGCACACACGTGGGTATGGCTGGAGCCCACTCGGCAGGAGCTGGGCACAGCATGAGGGTCTGACCTTGCTTCCCCCAGCCACTTTCTCTCTTCTCTCCCCAGCAGCTGCCAGCGTGGAGAAGGCAGAGCTATGGCATCGCTGCTGTGCAACGCCCGTGAGTGCCCCAGCGGAGGATGGGTGCAGGGCAGGGCATTGGGCCATCTGGATTTATCCCGAGGCAAATCTGGCTTCTGGGCTGAGCTCACCTTGCTGCACTCAGAAGCATACCTACCCCACCATGGACATTGGGATTTGGGCTTGGAAGCCCCAAGGGTGGATAGGAAGGGTTGATGGGGAATTACCCTGTGCGCCTCTCGTGGTGAAGGGAGTTTGTTCCTGGTTCGTCCCTCCTCCCTCACGGATTGAGGGACCGTGTGTGGCCCCAGAGGTGAGAGGAAGCAAAGTACCAGGGCACAGTGCCTGGATACCCCCACCCTCAGTGACGCAGCCCGTGCTGCCCCCAGGCATCCAGCTCACGGGCACGCTGGAGCAGATGCAGCAGGGGACTCTGATGCGCAAAGTCAAGTCCAAGAGCTGGAAGAAGCAGCGTTACTTCAAGCTGCAGGAGGACTGCATGACCATCTGGTACCAGTCCAAGAGGACAGGCAAAACTGAGTCTGCCTGTGAGTACCAGCTGCTGTGTGGGCCATGAGGCCATCAATAGGTTTTAGAGTGAACAGGGGTGTGAAGGTATGGAGATTCTTGGGCCATGCTTGCTAAGGGTGCTGGGGGATTGAAGAAAGGCTCTGCATGCACGTGTGATCTCTTTTCACCCACACCTCTCCATGAAACATCCTGCTCCCAGCAGGACCCGTGGGTGAAAAGGGCTGAGTAGAAATTGCAGCTGATACAAATGGAACCTCTGGAATGCCAGCGCAGGAGTGAGCAGGCAGAGGGGCAGATGGATGACTGGCTGACTTGATAGTTCAGTGGTTAATGGATAGATAACTAGCTCAGTGGAGGGATGGATGGATGGATGGATGGATGGATGGATGGATGGATGGATGGATGGGTGGATGGAGTGGAAGAAGGAATGGCTGGAAGATGTCTGTATGTCTGCGGGCGGTGCCCCTTGCCCTGTGGTCCTTGTCTCCTACAGACAGGCCTCCCCTCCCTCTGCCCCAGTCTCCATCAGCGATGTGGAGACGGTGCGGGAAGGGCACCAGTCAGAGGTGCTGCAGAGCGTGGCTGAGGAGTTCCCCCCTGAGCGCTGCTTCACCATTGTCTTCTACGGCCGTCGTGGCAACCTGGACCTCGTTGCTGGCTCGGCAGAGGAGGCACAGTGCTGGATACAGGGCCTGCGTCAGCTCATCGAGGTGGCCACCACCATGGACCAAAGGGAGAAGATAGACCAATATCCTTCCTGAGAGCACCACGCTGCCCCCCACACCCGCTGCTGATCGTCCCCCAGGCCCTGTGTCTTCAGCCTTACCCCAGCGTGTGTGTAGCTGTTCTGGGTCTCACCACCTGCATCAGTGCAGGGCACAGGAAAAGGAAAAGATGCCCTCTGATACTACCCAGCCCCTTTTCTCAAAGCCAAGGTCCTTTCCCTTAACATTCGCCCTGTTTTCCTGCACATGGATTCGTGACTGGTTCCAGAAAGCTGACAAGAATAAGGATGGGCGCATGAACTTCAAGGAGGTGCAGCGTCTCCTGAAGATGATGAACGTGGACATGAACGAGGATCATGCCCTGCGGCTCTTCCAGGTAGGCACTGCACCTGAGAGCCTGGGGGGATTGGAGAGGGACTGGAGGGGCTGGAACAAGCTGTACAACACCTCCTTGCAAAACATCTGGTCCCATCCATCCATCCATCCATCCATCCATCCATCCATCCATCCAGCCCTCCGTCTGTCCATTCATACATTCCCCCATTGATCAATGCCTGCCACTGCCACTGTTGTGGGGTCTCTGCGCCCTCTCTTTGGGGTGGGAGAATCCTCCCACAGCCACTTTGGTGGCCAAGACTCCCTGTTGTGCCCCATCTGGATGCTGAGGGAGCTCCCTTGCAAACAGGATGCTGACAAGTCGGAGTCGGGGACTCTGGAAGGGGAGGAATTTGTACTCTTCTACAAGGCTCTCACGCAGCGTGAGGAGGTGCTGAGCCTCTTCCAGAAATACTCTGAGGATGGAAAGAAGCTGACACTGCTGGAGCTGGCGGATTTCCTGCGGGAGGAGCAGCTGGAGGATGAGGGCACAGAGGAGCTGGCCATGGAGCTCATTGACAAATATGAACCATCGGAGACGGGTGAGGGCTGGCTCAGACATCAGCTGTGCTCTGCTTGGGGGCAAGGAGGGGTCACAGACTCACAGTCCCATGGCAGAATCATTCCCAGCCCCATCCTGCTGTGAACAGAAGATTCACCAAGGTGTGACCTGGGTGCTGTTCCCTTTTATTTGGTCCGTTCCTGACCATTTTGGTGTAGAAGGTTGACCACTCGTGGTGTGCAAGCACCAGCTTAGGGATCCACTGTCCACCTTTCCAAAGTTACTGCCTTGCTGCATCTTTCTGTGCCTGACTCTGGCAGCAGCTGTGGCCATCAGTTTAGGGATTCTGGGAGCCTCCAGCAGCCCTGTTTGCCCCCATTTTGTCTCTTCCATGTCCCTGGCTGTCGCTGAACCTCCCCCTGTGCCTGCAGCCCGGGCCCGCCATGTGCTGAGTGCTGATGGGTTCCTCATGTACCTCTGCTCCCTGGAGGGCTCCATCTTCAACCCCCGGCACCGGGGGCTGTGGCAGGACATGAGCCAGCCACTCTGCCACTACTTCATCTCCTCCTCCCACAACACCTACCTGATAGAGGATCAGATCCGGGGCCAGAGCAGCATCGAGGGCTACATCAGGTAAAGGGACTGCTCCCTTCCAGCTGCCCTCCCACACCCTCCCACCCCAGTGTCATGTCCTGAGCAGCTCCATAGGGCAAACCTCAGAAGCTCCTTTGCTCCTCTGCAGTCCAGCACTCCTCTGGCCATGCCCTGCATGCAGCAGCATCCCCGCCCTTGGTGGGTGTCCCCATGTCCCTTAGGGGTGACACCCACGGGCAGAGGGGAGCGCAGGGAGCCGGTGCCCTGGATGAGTGCAGGGTTCCAGGGATGACAACCCGCTCCCAGGGCTCTGAAACGAGGCTGCCGGTGCCTGGAGGTGGATTGCTGGGACGGGCCAAATGGGGAGCCCATGGTGTACCACGGCCACACCTTCACCTCCAAGATCCCCTTCCGGGAGGTGGTGAACACCCTGGGGAAGTACGCCTTCAAGGTAAGGCACCCTTCCCAGGGGCTGGGGGTCGGGGGTGGTCCGTGGGTGAGGATACATGGCAGGGGTGGGTCCTGGAGGGGGAGTGCTGCTGAGGCTCACACACCTGGTGGTGCAGCAGGACTGGTCACACTGCGGGGAGAAGGGTGGCTGTGTCACTTTCTGGGGGATAGCACTGGGGGGTCTGACCTACAGCCTGCACTGTGCTGTGCCAGGGGTTGGGGGCTCATGCAGACATGGACTGTTGGGGATGCAGGGATGAGATGGGATGTGGGGGATACTGGGGGATTGGAGGGGTATGAAGGTCTCAGAGGACAAACAGACACAAGGGGCTCCATCCTGGCACTGATCACGCCTGGATGAAGCCCTTGTGAGAGCTCACCAGCCCCACCAAGGCTTATTTCCAGGTGTGCATGTTGCTCCTCAGACCTCGGACTACCCGGTGATCCTGTCCCTAGAGAACCACTGCAGCATGGAGCAGCAGGAGGTGCTGGCCCAGCAGCTCAAGGACATCCTGGGGGAACAGCTCCTCACCACTCCCATCGATGGGCATGTCCCCACCCAGCTCCCATCCCCAGAGGTATGGACAGAGCATGGCTGTGCAGGGCATCTCTGTCCTGCCTGAGAGTGCAGTCAGGAGGTGGATCTGCTGTTCAGAGAATAGGCCAATCTGTTCCAGCATGGTCCTGCTCCACTGGAGCATTTGAGGACGCTGGGGATGGGTACTGTGTCCTCATGTTCACAGAAGTGCCAAGGCTGTCCCCAGGGGTGTCTCCATGTCCTGCAGAATCAGACAGCAGGACAAAACCCTCCTACCCCTCCCCTTCTGAGTGCTGAAGGGAGCTCGTTGTGCTGGCCTCCAGCAGTGCACGACCTCAGGGCACAAGGCCCATGGAGGCACTGGGAAACTCAAGGTGCTTCTCTATCCCCCACCCCACAGGAGCTGAAGCACAAGATCTTGCTGAAGGGCAAGAAGATTGGGCGGCTGGAGGACACGCTGGATGGGCCAGGGGATGAGGCACCTGATGTGTCTGATGATGACAATGGGGCAGAGGCAGAGGAGGAGAGGAGGAGAGCAAAGGTAAGTGGCCAGGTAAAGGCTGGGGACCAGCTGGGAGAGCTGAGCTCCTGGACACAGCTATGAGCTGAGGTGACATCTCACTGCTTAGAGGAGAGACAGAGACTGCAGGGACATCACCAGGCAGGGAGGACAGCCTTTTCTGCCCCTGGCCATGCCAGACCTCTCTTTGTTGTGGTGGCAACATATTGGAGGTTGCTGCTTGCTCTGTAGGAAGACTGCTCGTAGCAGGGGTGCTGCCACCCACCAGCACACCCCTGGCTGCTCTTACCTGCCCTGGCTCTAGGGCCCCTGGCCCAGGTGAGTGCTGGTGGACAGTGCTCCCATCAGGAGGGACCCAACATGGCTCTGCCTTGCAGAAGGACAAGGAGACCTTGGCACAAGCATTGTCCGATTGTGTCATCTACTGCAAGAATGTGCCCTTCCGGGGCTTCCAGGAGGCACGCAGCCATTCCCGGCCCTCGGAGATCTCCTCCCTCTCTGAGGCCAAGGCCAGGAAGCTCATCCGGGATGAAGGTGAGATGAGGGGGGCAGTGGCACCGGGTGACTGGGACAGAGCAGAGGGGGCTGACGGCTTCCTCATGGGTAGCGCCAAAGCCTCCCGACACTGGGGTTCCCTCCCTGTCTGGGAGAAACAGGGTCCAGTGGGGCTGTTCTGTGGGGTTTGCCTCTGGTAGGGGATGAGGTTATTGGCTTAGAAAACAAGGCAGGACACCTGGATTCCTGAGCAGAGAGAGGGATGAGAACTGGTGGATGGGTGCATAGATAGATAGATAGATAGATAGATAGATAGATAGATAGATAAGAGGATGGATGGATGGATGGATGGATGGATGGATGGATGGATGGATGGATGGATGGACGGACAGAACATGTGGGTGACTGTACAAGCCAGAGAATGACCCCACAAGAGGGCCTCCTGCTCTATCCCCAGGAAATGAGTTTGTTCGCCACAATGCCTGGCAGCTGACACGCATCTACCCCAGCGGCATGAGGACTGACTCGTCCAACTACAATCCCCAGGAGATGTGGAACGTGGGCTGCCAGATCGGTACGGCGGGGTGCAGCAGGGCTGTGGGACATGCCCTGAGTCCTGTGCTAAATGCCACCCTCAACACCGGTGTTAGTGCCAGCTACTCCCCATCTGGAGCCAGGTTGGGTTGCCAGCTCTTGCACTGCCCTGGGGATGTTCAAACACCATCACCTTATTCCCTTATGTAACTCCACATCTCTATGGCTGTGGGGAGAGGCTGGTTTTCAGCTCAAAGCAGAGTGTGGTAGCTACATCATCACCTTATTCCCTTATGTAACTCCACATCTCTATGGCTGTGGGGACAGGCTGGTTTTCAGCAGTGTGGTATCTCCAAGCTGTTCTGAACCCTTTTCCCTGCCACCTCCCTCCAGTGGCCTTGAACTTCCAGACAGCTGGCACGGAGATGGACCTGTGTGACGGGCTCTTCAGCCAGAATGGCTGCTGTGGCTACGTGCTCAAACCACCCTTCATGAGGGATGAGGAGACTCTCTTCAACCCCAGTGACCCCAGCAGCCGGCAAGGCCCCGGCCCCATCACCCTGACAATCCAGGTACAGGAATGTGGAGACCCTGGGGAAGCTGAGACAGTGTCCTGGGGCTCTGTTGGTCCCAGACAGATGGGGACACTGTTGGGCAGTGTGCTGGAGCCAAGTAGCCTCACAAAAGACAGATTTGCAGGTAATCAGCGGGCAGCAGCTGCCCAAAGTGGCCAACAGCAAGGAGGGAGCCATCATTGACCCCCTGGTGCGTGTGGAGATCTACGGGGTCCCTGCAGACCAGGCACACCAGGAGACCAAGTACATTGAGAACAATGGTGAGACCCACAGCAGTACCACGGCCCTGCTGTGCCCAGGCACACTCCCTGCTGTCCTTCACTCTCTCAGCACCTGCTCTCTCTTCCCAGGGTTTAACCCCCACTGGGATGAGACACTGCAGTTTCAGATCCACGTGCCTGAGCTGGCCCTCATTCGCTTTGTGGTGGAGGATTATGACAAGACTTCCAGGAATGATTTTGTGGGTCAGTTCACCCTACCATTTGCCAACATCAAACCTGGTGAGTGGCTGCTGCCCAGAACAGCCCTGCAAGCATGTCTGGGGCTCAGCTGGGTACTAGAGAGGAGCCAGAACCTTGCTGTCCTTCCTGCAGGATATCGGCACATCCATCTCCTCTCAAAGGATGGCACCAGAATCCCACCCTCTTCGCTCTTTGTCCACATCCGCATCACTGAGCCACCTGGCCCTGAGCAGGACTGAGCTCGTGGGGTGAGCAGCACCCAGATGAAAGCCATACAGCCAGCTCCAAGTAGCTGGGGCCACAGAGCCAAACACCTTGCCCTCTTTTTAAGCTGTTTCTGTCATTCCTGTGTCATTGTTGCTGCTGTGATTCCCTTTGCAGTAGCCTCCGAGGGCTGGGAAAAAGCACTGACCTCCCCTTTCCAGGTTCAGGATGCTGCTGCTCATGCATGAGTGTGGGGTCTATGCCAGTGGAGCTCCCTGTACCTGCCACAGGCACCCTGCCCGGGCCCACAGTCAGAGCTTTACTGTGGGGAGGAGGAGAGATGGTGTGTGGCCCAGCTCTGCTGCAGGGGCTGGTCCCCTCCCAGTCAGGGGAGCAAGGCTGGAGCTGAGCAAACCCCAGGGCTGGGCACAGCTGGGAGTGGAGTTGGTCCTCACTGCGCCCTAACCCTGCAGAGCCCAATCACATCCCTTGGCCCCTACAGCCCCAAATTAACCCTTATCCCATCCTTTCTCTGTTAGCAACTTAATAAATTGTTCAGTGACAAACAGGTTCAGGTCTGGGTGCAGAGGTGCTGGGGAGAGATGGGGAACTGAGCTTGGGTTTGTGCTCCTTTCCTGTGGGTTCACATAGGGGTTCCAAACAGGACAAAGAAACAGTATTAGAAGGAACTGAGCAATTCCTTTTATACAGTTGTGTATTTTACAACCCATATACATATATGCCTGTATATACACACACACACATCTCTGCAGCACGCCTGTGTCACCAGTGCCTTAAAGCAGTTGGGATGCAGCCTCACTGTGCTGTGCCATCCTTCTCCACAGGGCACTCTCCTTCTTGCTCCATCCTGGGGGCCCCCTTGGCCTGGCTCTCCCTCTGCACGCTGTGAAGGTGGACGGTGTGTGTGCTGGGGTCCTTTCCCACGCCCTGGCTAGGGTCAGCAGCCCTGTGCTCGGGGTGATGCCGCTGGATGTGTTTGATGACCTGGAACTTCTGCTTGGCCTTGTAGGGGCAGTAGCGGCAGAAGAAGGGGTGCTCGTTGGTGTGGGTCAGGTAGTGGTGGCGCAGGCCAGCTGCCCAGCGGAAAGCCCGCCCGCAGGCGTTGCACACGTAGGGCTTCTCCTCGCTGTGCTTCTTCAGGTGGGTCTTGAGGAGAAAGCGTGTCTTGAAGGCCTTGCCACACTGCTCGCAGATGAAGGAACGGGCCTCCTGGTGCCGCGTCTCCTTGTGCACCCGCAGGGCGTCCGCGCGGTTGGTGCGGTACTCGCACTCATCACACCGGTATGGCTTCAGGCCTGTGCCAACAGGGAAGGGGATGGCACCGGCATGGGGGCACTGTGCTCTCCAGTCCACGGGTCTCACCATCCCCGTGGCAGAGCATCAGTCCCCAGGGTCTTCTCCCTACATCCCATTTTGTTATCAGGCACACCAAGATCCCCATTTCCAAGGCACCAAATGGTGCCTGGGGTCTGTGCCACCCACACTTCCCTCCCACCTGAGAGCACTAGCCCCAGCCCATTAGCACAGGATAATGTACTGCCCCCTAAATGTCCTCCTCTGTCTCTAGCTGGGCCACTGGCAGAAGAGAAGCATGGAGCAGCCCCAACACCCTCCCCAGTGCTTGACAGCTTGTCCCCAGTGGGCAGCACTCACCCGTGTGCTTTGTCATGTGGTACTTGAGCTGGTTCACCCACTTGCACTTGTAGCCGCAGTCAGGGCAGAGGTATTTCCTCTCCTCCTTGTGGATCCGCATGTGATACTGGGCAGGAGGACAGGGTCAGGATGAGACCATGTCCCCAGCCCTGGGGATGTGCAGGGCTTTGGGGTGGCAGTGAGAGGCTCAAAGACAGTTCTGACATCTCCAGCTGCATGGGGCAAGGAGGGCTGTGTGCTTGCTTGGCAGGCTATGGGCAAAGGGGATCCTGACCAGAGTCAGGATGAAATTCCTGTACTGCTAAGCTGCTCTGTCCCAGACTGTGGATAGCACAGGCTTTGCTCCCCAGTTTGATATGTAAGGCAGAGTCAAATTAAAAACCCAGCCCAAAAGAGCTGAGCACATTGCACAGCCTGTCCCAGGTGGCCCCAGGAGACTCCAGCTCAGCCTGGCCATTAAAAAAGTCAATACTTCTTTTAGCAAAACCAGACTATTTCTCTCTCCATTACCCTATGCCTCCATCACCCACACATTTCCTGTTCTAGGAAAAGCCCTTTCCCATGCATCAGGATGCTAATCACCTACAGCAATGAGGACAGGGTCACACTCTGCTTCCAAGAAAGCTGGAGGTTTCTCTGCACCCTGTCTAACTGGCACCACAGAGTATGCTGAAAGCAGCAAACAGCCAAACCTGGTTTTAAATGGTGCAAGGCTGGACCTAGAGATGTCAGCAAGAAAAGAAGTGAACTTAGACTGCTGCCATCTTCTTGCTTTGTTAAAAGTCTCCCTTGCCCTTAAACTGCAACAGCAGGGAAGAAATGTATTGTACTGACAATGACTTTTATCTGCTTGATTCCTATTTCTGTTCAGTATGAGCCATTGAACACTGAGGATGAAACCTCCCTTTGGGAACTTCTTCCCCAAATTCCTATGGCTGGATGCCCCTCAAGCAATGCAGATGGAGTAGGATACATTCCCAAGCAGAGCTCTTACCTTGAGACGTGAGGGGTCGGCGCAGGCATATTTACAGAGGTGGCACTTGTAGGGCTTCTCACCGGTGTGGATGCGGATGTGCCACGTGATCTTTTGCCTGTTCTTGGTGGTGTACTCACAGTCTGAGCACTTGTACACGCGGGTGCCCCCATGGCCCTTCATGTGCTGGTCAAACACAAGCTGGTGCTGGCAGGCAAAGTCACAGAAAGGGCAGTGCAGGGGTTTGTCCTGGGGGGCAGCCGGCTCGTGGCTCTCCATGTAATGCTGCACCAGCTGCTGCCGCTCCTTGGCTGCAAAGCTGCACAGCTCACAGCGGTGGCTGAAATGCAGAGTCTTGTGCTCCTCCAGTGCCTCCCGCGTGGCAAAGGTCTCCTTGCAGGTGCTGCACTCCAGGTGTGGGTGCTGCTTCTGCACGTGGCACTTGAGCGTGGCCTCACTGTGACACACGAAGTCACAGCGTGGGCAGCTGTAGGAAACCTTCTCCTCGTGCCGCCGCAGGACGTGCTGCTTGAGGGCCGTCTCAGAACTGAAGCGAGCCTCACAGCGGGAGCAGCCAAAGTTGAGCTCGCCGTGGTGGCAGCTGTTGACGTGGCGGGTGATGTCGTTCTGCAGGTAGCTGCTGTAGTCGCAGAGCGGGCAGAAATGGGTGGGCGTCTTCTCGTGCACGCGCAGGCGGTGGATGCGCAGCTTGGAGTTGGTGCCGAAGGTCTGGCTGCAGATGCCGCAGGCGATGCGCCCCACGCCGGTGTGCAGGGACTGGTGGGCCTCCAGGCGGTAGCGGCGCGTGGTGCTGAACTCGCAGTAGCGGCACTTGTGTGGCTTCACCCCCTCGTGCTTGATGCGGATGTGCTGCCGCAGGCACCGGGCCTGCTTGCAGGTGAACTCGCACTGGCGGCACTGCAGCTGCGGCCGCTTGCTGTAATGCTTGCGGTGCAGCCTGCGGTGCAGCCGCAGGGCTTTGGCCACCTTGGAGGTGAAGGGGCAGGAGGTGCAGCGGAACTCACCCAGGGTCACGCAGCCCCGCTTCTTGTGAGTCTTCATGGCCCGTTCCTGGTGGCAGGTGAAGGGGCAGGTGGGGCAGGAGAAACGCCTCCTCTTGGGCAGGGTGGCTTTTGGTGGGGCTGCATCCAGTGGGAGTTCACTGGTCTGGTCTTTCTCAACACTGAGTGGGTCCCCCTCAGGGAGTTCAGTCCTTTGGGGTTTGTCCTCGGGATGCATGATGTGCTTTTCAGCACAGTGGCTCTTGAGGGCCCGCCGGGAGCGGAAGGTTTCAGGGCACTGGGAGCACCAGAACTGCTCCAGGTTCCGGCAGCCATCCTCCACGTGGGAGGTGATGGTGGTGACACGGGAGCACACAAAGGAGCAGGCATTGCAGTGCAGCTTCCCTCCCTCCAGTCGGTATTTCTCTGAGGGTTTCCCAGGCTGGGAGGCACCAGCAGCTCCACCTGATTCAGTCCCACCCTCTTGCTGAGGAGGCTCTTCTGCTACCTCTGTGCTGTCACCCAGCAGGGATTTCTCAGAGGGATGACAGCCTGATGTCTGTGCCCCAGCCAAAGGAATGCCTGCTGCTTGTGTTTTACCAGGTAGCAGTTCAGCTTCCCAAGGGCTCTCAGCATGCCCAGACTCCTCTGAGCCTCCCTTCTTGCTCTCTGCTGTTTCTGTACCGTTATCACCAGCCTGGTCAGCAGGCTGGCACAGTCCAGGTGCCTCCAGATTGGTTGGTTTGAGAATCTTGTTGTTCTTCAGCAGAGCAGGGCACTTCTTTAGGAGGTGGGTGTTGAGTCCCCTCTGCTGCTTAAAGCTGGCGCCACACTCACGGCACACGAGCGGGGCCCGGCGGCTCTGGCAGCTGGCTTTGGAGTGCAGGGACATGGATTTCTCCTTCCGTGTGATGTATGAACACTTCTCACACTTAAAGACCTGGCTCTCCGACTGCACCACCAGCATCTGCACCCTGCCCTCCAGCACCAGGGTCTCTGCCTGCTCTTTGTCCTGCTTCCGCAGAGCCTTCAGCACTGACTCCGAGCCGCCCCTGGCATTGTCACCAGAGGTGGGCACATCCTCTGGGACCTGTTCAGGTGTCTTCAGCATGCTGAGCCAGGCCTCTGGCAGCTTGGCTTGGCTGGTCTCTCTCTCCTCAGTGTCTGCCACAACCTTGTGGTGGTCTGAGCATGACCCCTCAAGGTGGCCCATGTCCTCCTTTAGGGTGTCTTTTCCCTGGTTGTCTCCTGCCACTACACTGTCCTTCACCACCCTGTCTTCCTGAACATCTACCTCTTCCTCAAAGTCTGGGATGTCTTCGAGTGCATTGCCACTGTCCTCCAAGCCAAGGCCATCCTGGGAGCCCAGCATCTCATAGGCTGCAGGAGGCTCCTTGCAGGACAGCATTTCCACCCTCTCTGGCTGGATCACACAGGCTTCTGCAGTCAAATTCTCCAGGAGAGGGTCAGACGAGACATTCAGTGTCTCCAAGTGCAAGGTGCAGCTCTCTGCCACATCTTCAGAAACAGTGAGCTCAGTCGAGCCTGTGGCAGCATCTCCTTGCATGCAGTCTTCTTCCAGGGCATTGCCAGCAATAGGACAGCTCTGCTCCCCCTCGCCTCTCTCTGCCTCGCTGCTGCTCTCTGGTGGAGCAGCATCCTGCTCAAGGAGGGGCACCACGAACACCTGCTGGTAGCCCTCTTCTCCCTGGGACTCCACCTGGGATGGCTTCTCCTTCATCCACTGCTCCTTGCCAGTGAGGGGGGAACTGGCATCCACATGCAGGGCTGCACCGACCTCATAGCCAAAGAGAGCCTCAGATGAGCTGATCTCCAGCTCCTTGCTGGCGTAATTTTCCAGCCAGTCCTTGTCACCAGGAACGTAGCCATGAATCTTGCGCTTATGGAAGAAGAGG